CTCTCTCTCTCTCTCTCTCTCTCTCTCTCTCTTTCTTCTTCCACCCACCCACCCTACCTTTCTAGGGCCCATTGTCTTCGTCCACAACGGGATTTGCTCCCTAGTTATGAATAATTCCAAATCTGAATCTTATAGTTCTGGATATTCTGAATAATTCCTAATATTTGAAGTCCCATTGACTCATGTAGAAAGCAGGCTGGGCTGCTTACAAGAGGAGGAAAATGAGACCCCTTCCTTGATATCCTTTTGGAGGATTCTTCTTTTACTAGAAATCATTATGTTGCTGGTTTTTATTTTTGTTCAACATACATTGGTGGGGATCTGAAGAATCTTGCAACTAATTGTGCATCCAGAGAAGGTTTTGACTTGTGTATTTTGAACAGCAGCTCCCCAACAGACATAGACAGCCTTTTTAAAAAACAAAAAGTTCAGTGGGTTTTCAAATGCATCAATCCATCACCTATAAAATTAAGAAATGCTTAGAAAACACTAAACAACCAGTAAGATATACCTTGTACCTTAAGGTAAGTTTTAAGAATTATTCAATACCCTTGTATTTGCAGGGTACCACTACGGAAACAGAAATAAGAAAGAGGAGATTAAGCTCTTATCAAATTTCTCTGGAACTAATGGAAGAATCTGCAGCAAGACAAAGGGCCATGAGTATTGCCAGCATACTCACAAACACAATGGAAGGTATGACACAAACACAGTGGATTGTATGGAACAGTACAACTTGCTTCACCACATGTTACATGAAGTTCTGTTCTAAGCTGTTTTTGCTTTATTTTCTGAGATGTAAGCATTCTTGATACGGATGCACTCCATTGACTGAGGACCACCCTCAGCAAGTATAAGGAATTTGAGATGCAGCAGGAGAAAAGCCAAGGAAACCACCACCTCCAGAACTCTTTGTACTCACACACAATGGGGTGGATCCAGCCAACTTTTCTCTGGAGAAAAAGGAAGGAGGGAATACCATTTGACCATGAAAAGGGCTACTCTGGAGAACATGGGACCTGCATGGACCAAAGCCATCTGGGATGGGATCTGTAATAAGGAAGTGAATTGGGGGAGCCTGAAAAGTTGATTGGATCCACCCCAGTAAAATCCAGGCTATTATTCTGTGTGGTTCCCCCGCACACCCCCCCAAAAACAGTTATTGTGTAAAATTCCTTAACCTTTTTGCCTCTAGATGAAGATGGGTAGCCTAGCCGTGTTAGTCTGTCTGTAGCAGTAGAAAAGAGTAAGAGTCCAGTAGCACGTTAAAGACTTCTGGACTCTTTTTGCCTTTAAGCAGTTTTCAAGGGGATCTCTGTGAAGTCCCTGATGGTGGTATTTCTGGCTGCTTTACAAGTCATGAAATAAGTGAATGTTAGCACAGGTCGTATAGGAAGAATCTATACTGGGAACAAACCATTTTGTCTTTAAAGTGGAAGACAGAAGTACCTGTTCGCCCTTCCGTATATCCATTAAGAAAAAAGATTATTAGTCTCTTTCTAAGCATCTACAGTGAATTCATGGAAGGAGAGCACTGCAGAATCATGGCAGCAAGCTGGTCCTTCAGTCTGTGCATGTTCGTTGAACCATAGGCATAGAACATGAGGGAGTATGGCTCTCTCCATGCAGTCAGGGATCCTGCTCTTCATAGTTCCTGATCACATAAACATGTGTTTTGGGGGGGCGGGGATAGGATCGCGGCTGGCAAGTTCTACTCATAACCCACACACTTAGTATGCATAGAGTACAGAAAGGAATGTATGTAGGATTCTCTTTGTGCAATCAGGAATCATGAAAAGGCAGGATTCCTGATTGGGTGGTTCTGTGCCTGTAGTCTGGTGAATACGATCAAGTTATTAATCAAATGCTTACTTCAAATTCTTATGTACTGAACAAAAAGAACCCAATAAAATAAATATATTAACTTTTTTATTAATAGTGTTTAAATTAGCTGATGCCTTTAGATTAACTATTTTTCCTAAGTGATTATGGAGAAGTACAACAAACAGAAGATCATTGACTTCTAATGTACAGTCCTTACATTTAATATTCCATGACTAAAACATTGAAAGGTGGTTAATAATAATATTTCAGTGGTATTTTTCCTAAGTGCTCAAAGTACTTCATATAGCTTATCTAAGTAATTTTTGTGGCACCCCCTATTACATAGAGCAATGTTGAAGGATAGTGGACATAGCTTGGCAATGATGATCAGCATTAGACCAAGAAGATTCAAACAAGGTGGTAGTTGTTTTTAATCCAACCAACAGAGACCCATGTATCTTATGACACAATCATTAGCTAGCCTGCCATAGTCACAGTTATTTCTGATGCACCAGATGGAACCATTCTTTCCAACTTGGCCAATATCTAGTGCATACCTGGTTTGGGTTATCATCAGGACAGCAGGCACTGGTGATTGGGAAAGGTGCTACTAGCTTTTTGTAGGCATGATGAAAAGAAGAGGATAGCTGTCCACCAGATGAACTAAAACGTGGGCTTGTGCCCATGATCACACGAGCAGTTTGGCCTGACATAGCCACCCCTCCCCTCTGGATTAAATGGGTGCAGTCACACAGCCACATCTGTAAGGCATTCCCAGGCATACTCACTCCATCATAAGATGGCTTGGAGACGGGATAAAAAGGCACCGCATTACAAGTGGTGTTTTTGGTTCCCCGCACATTCATTGCGCTTGGCCGCATGTCTGAACCTGGGGGAGTGCGTGCAAAATGGATTGGCAGTCTGAACCTGCAGATCCATTTCCATCACTGAGGTGTTTTGTTTTCATTTTTTACTATATGCACATGTGTGCACATGGGCATATGCGCCCACATGCATTTTAAAAAAACAACTGGGCAGCACGCTCTGTGGCTGAGGTGCTGCAGTAATGTGGATGCTCGACCAGGGGACGGCCATGTGGGTAACCCACAGCAGGATGTGCTGTCTGGATGATATGCCAACCCAAAAAGAGGACATGTTCATCAGTTTTTTTAAAAAAGCCCAAAAGAGGACTGACACACACAAAAAAGATGACATCTGGTAACCCTAGCTTATGAGGAGACTTGATGTTTGCAGGCCCTTAGCCAGGATTTGTTAATTTGGGGAGCCTTTAAATAAGTCAGGGGGCACCCGAACCTCCCCCAAGGGAGCACCTGGGCTGGATGGGAAGTTGGGGGCCTTGGCGGTAAGTCAGGGGGCCATGCCCCAAGATGCCCCGCTGTAGCTATGGGCCTGGATGGTTGGCACAAGCAAATGGGCTAAGGCACAAAAGCAGGCGCAACTGCTTTGTGCACCAAGCAAACTGCAAATGTAAAGCTGGGAGGGAGGAGAGGCAGGGAGAATCCTTCCACACTAGCGAAAGCTGTTTCCAGCCAACTTTCCACCCCCTCTTTTCCCAACCACCATTGAACACCCCCTCCCACCAAAAATAACCCCCTCAAAAGCTCCTACCTTATCTGCTGCTGCTGAGAGGAATCACTTGCCTGCTTTGAACTAGCAGGCTAACACACAAAAAAGACTGGGCCACGTGCTTCAAAGCCTGCAGGAGCTTCATGCACCAAGCAAAGTGCAAAAGGAAAGCTGGGGAGTGGAGGAGGGGAAGAGACTCCCTCCTTCATTGGCAGAAGCTGCAATTGGGAGTGGGCCCCCTAGCAGCTCTCATTGGTCAGCAACTGACTGATTAAGCCCTGTTTTGACACCCGGCCTGATCCCATGGGGTTGAGTGTTGCCTCCCCTCCCTTCAGAGGTGTGAATTCATCTCACTAGACTGAACTGTTGTTAACTTCTTTATTGGCAGCTATGTAAGCCATATTTAGAGTTAACTAGGGGTATCCCATGCATAAGAGTGTTGTTCTTGTGTACATATTTAAAATAAAAATAAAAATAGGCATTTGTACAAATCTGTTGTAAAATACTGATGATGAGCTCTTAGGATCTGCAGTTATAAAGGTGTTGCCTCTAATATCTTACTTTCATTTTCTTCCAGAACTTGAAGAATCCAGACAGAAATGTCCACCATGTTGGTATAGATTTGCAAATGTTTTCTTGATCTGGGACTGCTGGCCTCCGTGGTTAAAAGTAAAACACATTGTGAATTTGATAGTGATGGATCCATTCGTTGATCTTGCTATTACTATCTGCATTGTTTTAAATACACTATTTATGGCCATGGAGCATTATCCGATGACTCCCTATTTCAACCATGTGCTTTTGGTCGGAAACCTGGTATGTATGTGGCAAGTAATTTGTTTACTTTTTAAAAAAATTATGGGTCATTTTTAAAAATTTAATGTATGGTGAAAACTTTCAGAGATGTTTAACATTTTAAACCATAAAAAGTAGATGTCAATACAATATTGGCAGTAGAACATTCCCAACCCGCAAGCACAACACTGTCTCACATTCTCGGTAACCAAGAGGGCTTTCTCTACCATATAAAAGTAATCCGTAAGGGGGCTCACTGGGACTTCCTGTTGCAGGTGTTCCGTAACTGTGGCTCCATGATTAACAAGAATTACCTTGAGCCTAACTCTAAAAATAGGGTGCTAGCCCAGTTTTTCTCATGATGAAACTAGTGTTGAAAACAATACTTTTAAAAAACATTTCTCAGAGACCATGCCTTCTTTTTTGAAAATATAAGTTGCAGTATGTCTGACCCCAATATATTTATATGAACCAAGTATATTTATATTCATATATTATATGCATTGAGCAGGGGGTTGGACTAGGTGGCCTGTATGCCCCTTCCAACTCTACGATTCTGTGATTCTAAGACCAGTGTATGGTGATTCCCAAATAGTAGGTTTGGACCCAGCCAAGGTGATGGGAACCCCTACTAATGGATTTCAGTGGGTGCTAAAAACAAAGCAGCACTGTAATCTACTAAAAGACATATTGTTCTGCTAAACTTTTGTTCTTTACTCCTGTCCAAGTAGGGTTGCCATGCCAGCATGTCTACATAGACAGTTCTATTTTGCATTGGTACCCTTGCTTCTGTAGTCTCACATTTTTAGTTGAAATGAAATTATGGAGTATTATTTGACAATATTACAGAGTCTTAAAAGTAAATAATCTGCTTTATAGAGATCACTTGGAATAATGCTAAGGATTAGCCTATATAAACAGACAGAAGCTGATTTATTAGCATTTTCTTTGTTCCAGTGCATTTTGTACAGGAAATATTTCTAATGCTAGAAAGCACTGCCATCTCACTACCTTAAATTTACTTGAGAATATAATCTTTCTAATTTTTTTAAAAAATGTTTAACGTAATATCGGTACTTCAATAATATAGAGTTGAAAGCATCAAGGTACCTCGATAATATAGAATTGAAAGCATCTGTGTGTGCATACATACTTTTTGTTTTTAACTGTAGATTACCTGTTCTACCTGTTCTACTAATATGAATTTACTGTAATAAAATAGATTCCAATATATTATCTAATGAAGCTGCTGCCTTCCATAGTCAGGAATCATTCTTGTGGAGCCCCACATATATCGAGACCATGTGACTTATATGTCAACTTTTTATACTGTTAAGGATATTGCCAGAAATATAGGGGAATAGTTAGTGGTCTTGGCTAAAAAAGACACAAAGGATGCTTTTGTAGGCCATGAACAGGTTTACCCTGCTCTCTCAGCACATGCTAAATAGGAAGTCAAGCGACCCAGAACAGAACAGCCTTGGAGATAGGGTGGCCTCCTGACAATTCCTTTCATTACCTTTCATTGGGGATGGGGGTGCTTGTTATTTCTGGTTAAAAACACTTCCAGTAAAACAATTCTGGTTTTACCAGAGTTCTTGTGAAATGCTAGAGCATCCCTATGTCACTTCCAATTTTAACCGGAAGTGATGTACACATGCTGCCATGACACTAGAACACCAGGCCTGGCCTACTTGGACAGGAGTAAGGAACCTAGGAATAACAGAATAATATGTCTTTTAATAGATTCTAAAGAGTATAATTAATATGAATAAATATAATATGTATTGGGGCCCAGATGCAAGAAGCACCTATGAATGACAAAAATATCTAACTAAATGCGGAAGCTGAAGATATAGTTCAAAGCTGGAGTGTATTTATTGGGGTCATTTGTATGAAAAGCTTGTAGCCACTCTTTTTTATATTCTGTCTCCTGACAAAAAGTGGCAATAATTATCTAACAGTTTTATGTATTATAATAAGATATTTGAGTATAAATACTTTTGAATTTACAGTTAGCTAGCCAAGAATATGAGCCTTATCATGTGGTATAGCTAGCTATAGTTGGAAGGTGATTTTGAAAAGGTGATTTTGAGAGTCTAACCTGTTTACTTTTGGTAAGAAATAATTAATGGGCTCAAAAAATTTCTCTCTATATAACATCAATGAATAGTTATATTTTTTAAGTTACTGTTAAACTATTACTAGAGAATCTTTGCTTCCATTTAATCTCTTTATTGAAACATTATTATTTACACTTTTAACTTTGTGCACTGTACCCTGAATGGACAAAAAACATTGAGGTGGTCATTATGCCAGGAGATTAATGATCTGACCTAGGAAAACTAACTAGACACTTCAGATTTCTTAAGTCCTCATCTATATCTGAATCAGGCCTGACTAGAGTCATCTGGAACCATATGAAAAATTAATCTAGAGAGAAGACATTCCAGTGCAGTGTATATATTATCGAAGTATTCTTAAAGCACCAAAGTAGTATCAAGGTATGGAGATGTCACTGAGAGGTTAAGACTTTTGTAATAACCTACAGTCCTCAAATAATTTGTGTTTTCAATGAGACCGTGAAAAAAACATGAGAATTATGTCTTTAATGCTGCAAACATTATTTCCCCATTTTTTCTAGGACCAGTTTATAGTAGCCAGGGAATCCATGTACTGAACTCAAGTTCATGATGTGGTTACACATGCACTGTTTGTTATCAGCCAACTCTTGGGGGGCTATACACAAGGCTACTGTGATTTGTAAAAAAAAAGTGGGTTTTTAAAATAAAGTGTGTTGGATCATACAGTAGGTAGTCATCCCCCTCCTCCTGAAACTTCCAGTGACCTCCGAAAGGCTGGTGCTCAGTGTTGGAAGACTCTGCTAAGTAAAATTCTGTGAAGCACAGGATGGAGAACCGAGTGAAATCGCCCTGCTCCCTGTTGCAATAACAGAACAATAGCAAGTTCTCTAGTAGTGCAAGAGGAGGCATACAGTTTTGCACAAATCCCCCTCATTGCTGAAGCCCTGTTCTGAAGGATCTTCAGCATCAGCTATGTATGTATGAGAGGTTGCTGGACCAAGGGGAAAACAGAAAATCTGTCTCTCCAAATTTCTTATGTCGTGCGTGGAAGGATCCAACCCATCATGCTTTTATGATATATTATATTTATCATATTAAAAGTAATATTTTTGTTTCCAGTTTCTAGTTTTATTAAAACATGTTTGTAAAATAGGTACACATGCAGAGACTAACTTCAGCTTCCTGCAGAGCACTGAAGAACATATTATTGTTAGCTTAGTGTAATATATGAAGCATACCATATTAGCTTTAATTAGGAGTGAGGGCAAGTTCATAATGTCTTCCCTGCTGATACTAATTTAAGACTCCAGGTCTTTTACCCTCTTGATCTGTTAACCTCATTTTGTTGGTTCTGCTCAAAGAAAGTTAATATGCTATTTCTCTGGCATATTTTGTTGCTTCAGAATTGATTATGATCTAGCAATAAGAATGCTTTCTTTTTAAGTCAAATGGAAATTGTGATGAAAAGCAATGATTCATTTCAATGTAATTTAAAATTAGTCATATCAAATTAAGTATATTTTTAACCCAAAAAAGAGAAATTACTTCAAAAGAACATCTCTGCAGAAATTAAAGTTCATGAAAAAAATTGTTAAAGTGATACACATGAAGCTGGAAAACATATACTACATTATCTGAAAATATCTGCACCGATTTTTGTTTCAAAAATTTTAGAATGTCAGAGTAGGGAGCCATTATGTACCTTGAAAATGAATGGTGTCACAGTATTGATTTGACAGAATGGAACGGACCAGAACCGATGGGTTGAAATTAAATCAAAGGAGTTTTTGGCTAACCATTAGGAAGAATTTCCTGACGGTTAGACCAGCTCCTCTGTGGAACAGGCTTCCTTGGGAGGTGGTGAACTCTCCTTCGTTGGAGGATTTTCAAATGGAGGCTGGATGGTCATCTGACAGTGATACTGATTCTGTGAACTTAGGCAGATCATGAGAGGGAGGGCAGGAAGGGTTGCATCAGTGCTTAGTTCTTGTGGCCCTTTCTTACACGACCAGGGAAATGCTGATCACCAATTTGGGGTCAGGAAGCAATTTTTCTCCAGACCAGTTTGGCTGGGGATCCTGGAGGTTTTTTGGCATCTTCTGGGCATGTAACAGGGATCACTAGGTATGTGTGGGGGAGGTATTTGTGAATTTCCTGCGTTGTGTAGAGGGATGGACTAGATGACTCTGGAGATCCCTTCCAACTCTATGATTCTCTGATTCTATGGCAGGTTTGGTAATAAGGCCACCCCTAAAATGTCCACATTAAAATAATGTACTTCTTTTAAAAAACCCTTATTATATCATTTTTTAAGAATTACAATTCAGAAGGTAACAATGCACTACCCTCTGATGACTGCAAGTTTAAAAGTCTACATATTATGCCTTAGAACATACTGTGTTCCTATATCCTGTCTATATTCTGCCCTTAAGAAACTGACATATCTTGAGAGATATGGGAATGGGAGACCTTGAAAGATTTGTTGGAATTTTTCAGGTTCAGCGAACCTAAATAAAATTAATTCAATTATACTTGCATGTAGGTCTTCACTGGGATCTTCACTGCTGAAATGGTCCTCAAAATAATAGCCATGGATCCTTATTATTATTTCCAAGAAGGCTGGAATATTTTTGATGGCATTATCGTCAGCCTTAGTTTAATGGAGCTGGGTTTGGCAAATGTGGAAGGATTGTCAGTCCTAAGATCCTTCAGATTGGTAAATATAAGCAGACTGGAAAAATGTTTTGAGGTGGGGTTGGATATTTGGTATAAAAGGTACTTATGTATACGAGTGCAAACATTTTCATTGCTGAATATAGTTACGGAGAAATTATTTAATTGGTAAGTCTATAACATTCTGAGAATTTATGTTTCTAGTCCGCATCAAAAAAAACCACCCGTGTTTGACATCTACTACATGTGTTCTAATGTCCACCATACAATTGTGAATTGTAATACATGAATTTTGCTTACAACATATTTATTTAATGAAAATATGCTTCCAAATGTTGCATTCATTAATTGCTTATTTCCTGACATTATTATGGCCCCTGCCACACGGCAGGGAAAACACTGGCCAAAGTGCGGCTTTTAAAAGCCGCACCAAAAAAGAGACGCCGCGGCGGGATCCCACGATCCCCTGAGCTGCGGCGCCATTGCTCCCCGGCATGATCAGATGCTGGGGAGGAAGAGACGATCGGGAGGGGGAGGCTGCCAACCTGCGCATGCTCATACGGCCGGGGGCCGGGGATGCGACGGTGAAAAGACGCGCCAGCAATCCCACAGCCGGCAGTGATGCGGCCTTTTGGACAGAACCACCTAGGTAGGTGGTTCTTTTTTGATGCGGGTTTTGGCCGAGAGGGGTGGATTGGGAACGGGCTGGGAACGGGTGCAGCACAATTCCTAGATGTTGCTGTGGGATCGCGCCCGTTTGCTGCGGCCCCGATCCGTCCCTCTCCCAGCCCAAAACATCTCGTGTGAACAGGGCCTTATAAGTTTCACTGAATGTACCTCTAATCTGAACAAATAATGTTCTAAATAAGAATGCAATGCATATTAATAATAATTGTGAAGAGTAATAATAACATATCCTTGCTATTGTTTTCCAGCTCAGAGTTTTCAAGTTAGCAAAATCATGGCCGACGTTAAATATGCTGATCAAAATTATTGGCAACTCAGTTGGCGCTCTGGGAAATTTGACCTTGGTGCTGGCCATCATTGTCTTCATCTTTGCTGTGGTTGGCATGCAGCTGTTTGGTAAAAGCTATAGGGAATGTGTCTGCAAAATTGCCACAGATTGCATACTTCCACGCTGGCACATGCATGACTTTTTCCACTCCTTCTTGATCGTATTCCGAGTACTTTGTGGGGAATGGATAGAAACCATGTGGGACTGTATGGAGGTCGCAGGCCAAGCCATGTGCCTTATTGTTTTCATGTTGGTCATGGTGATTGGGAATCTAGTGGTATGTAATCAGTCTTTTTGAAAAATAAATTACAGTTTTTTACTATTATAATGCCCATTGAATGTGTTTTGAATTATTATTCAGTAGGGAAATGGTTATAGTTTGACTTGGAATCAGTACTAGAAACTATACAATTTAATGTTGAAGGGCTTCACAATTTAATATGAAGAGAGCCAATATGGTCTAGTGGTTAGGAGCGTGGACTCTAATCTGCAAGAACCAGATTTGATTCCTCACTCCTCCACATGCAGCTGCTGGTGTGACCTTGGGTCAGTTATGAGTTCTTTCAGAGCTGTTCTCTCATGAGAAGTCCTCGAAAGACCTCTCTCAGCCCCACCTACCTCACAGGGTGTCTGTTGTGGGAAGGGAAAGGGAAAGGAGGTTGTAAGCCACTCTGAGACCACTTTGAGACTCCTTCGGGTAGTGAAGGGCAGGGTATAAATCCAATCTCTTCTCCTCTTCTTCTTTATCTCTTGGAAGGATAAATTAATAATTGAGGGAAATTGAGTCATTCTTCGCCATGAGAAAATAGGGGGGGGAATGGTTAGTCAGAGGTGCTACTCTGAACCCTGTTTACATGACCTTTATTCAAGGGAGTTAGGTAAACTCACTCCTTGCCACTATACTAGTCACAACTTGCTCTCCACAGATAGAAGGAAAACATTCAGTGGTCTCTCCATGAACCTACTATAGGGTTACCAACTCTGGGAAGGGAAATTCCTGGAGATTTGGGGGTCTAGGCTGGGAACAGTGGAGTTTGGGAAGGGGAGGAAACTCAGCCTAGATGCCTCTGAAGCTGTAATAGTCTTCAGAGGAACTCATCCCTGTACTCCAGAGATCAGTTGTAATTTCAGGAGATCTCCAGGCCCCACTTGGAGGTTGGCAAGTCTGTGGTTGCATTCAGACTGGCAGTTTGGCCTGATATAGGCACAGTTCACAAATGGATTAAATGGGCCTGATCACGCAGCCACATCTGTCAGGCGTTCCCCGGGCGTACTCATCCCGTCAGAGGATGACTTGGAGCTGGGTTAAAAAGTCACCACCTCCGAAGTGGTGTTTTTGTTTCCCACGTGCATTCATCGCTCCTGGCCAGATGTCTGAACACAGGGGAACGCGCACAGAGAGGATCTGGCAGTCTGAACCTGAGATCCGTTCTGCCGCTAAGGAGGCTTAAAAAAAAATGCCTATCTGCGCATGTGACATATGCGCACCTGCACACTATGCATAAGCATGGATTTTGGAAAACATTTCCAGGTTGCTCCATGGCTGAGGCACCACAATAATGTGGATGCTTTACCACAGGATGTCTCCGTGGGTAACCCACAGCAGGGTGTGCTGTGTGGCTGATATATCCCACTACACTTTAAACCAGTTCAATTAGAGGTGGCACCATATCGCGCCAAGCCGCCAGTGTGATCACAGCCTGTGTGATGCCACAAACTCTTTGAACATGTCCCTTTTAATTGCATTTTCTGTAGGATACATCTTTCAACCTTCACTCAGAAGGAAAGTGGAATCTTTTGCCACAATGATAACATGGGCCTGTGGCTCTACTCATCTGTTTCTTGTTTTGCTCAGCAGCCATTTTGTGCTCCTGTTTCCTCTCTGGCTCAGCTTTGAAGTTCCATTGCATCCCTAGGCGCTGTTTCCATCACTACTCCAATTTCTACTCCATGTTTGAAAGTTTTCCTCTGTTAAAAGGTTCCTTTGTATACTCTAACAGTGCAGTCCACATACACATGTATCTCTTAATGGCATGGTTAAGCTGCTTCTCCTTAAAATTACAGTATCCTGAAACTTTTCTGAATTCTGCTACAAATGAAGGAACAGATTCATTTGTACTCTGCCTTTCTCCTCAATGGAGACACAAGGTGGCTTACATGATTTCCCTCGCCTCTATTTTTTCCTCACACAACCCTGTGAGGTAGGTTGGGCTGAGAGAGTGTGACTGGCCCAAATCTCCCAGTGAGTTTCCATGATGCAAGTGGGGATTTGAATTTGGGACTCCCAGATACTAGTCTGACACTCTTAACCAGTACATTGCACTGGCTTGCTCCTCTTCTAGGGTTGCTGACCAGGGATTGGGATATTCCTTGAGATTTGGAGCCTGGGGAGCTTGGGGTTTGGGGAGGAAAGTGACTGCAGCAGGGTATAATGTTATATAGCCCACGCTCCAAAACTTCCATTTCCTCCAGGGGAACAGATTGCTGCAATCTGGAGATCAGTTGTAATTCTGGGAGATCTCCAGGCCCACCTGGAGCTTGGCAACCCTAATTTACTACCAGATCTAAAGAGTACAGGTAGTACTTTACTTTCTAAATGAGGGGAGCAAGGAGGACATGCATGAGCTTGAGGCATACTCACCTCTGATAAGGGTTGAAGAAAAGCTCATGTGTAACATGATAGTATCTCTTGCGGTTATCTGTGATAATATTAAGCTACCTGTGCTGCAACCTCCATTACTCAGGAGGGGAAAGGCTAAAGAATCTGGGGTCTTTCAGTTTAGAAAAAAATATGACTGGGGGGGGGACATGAAAATGGTTTATAAAAGTATGCATGGATTAGAGAAGATGGATAGAGAGAACTTTTTCTCCTCCCCAAATACAAGAATTTGTGGGGACCAATGAAACCGATGAGCAATAGATAAAGGATGGACAAAAGTGATTACTTATTTATTGGTATCTGACAAAGAGAGCTTTGACTCTTGAAAGCTCATACACCCCTTCCCAATCTCTAAAGCAGCGGTGTCAAACTCATTTGTTGTGAGGGCCGGATCTGACATAAATGAGACCTTGTTGAACCGGGCCATGAGTGTCATAAAATGTAATGCCAGGTAGTGGAGATATAAACTTTATAAAGGACACAAACACAAAGGTTTTTTTTACTCAAAATAAAAACATGCTTAAAACAGTAGCACTCTTGCAATATTTTGTTTATTTAACTGTGTCTGATAACTGACACCTCTTGCTCTGAATTATTGCATCAAAATGTCTGTGCTGTTGCAATCTTGAGTATGCTGTTCAGGTGTGTATCTGTAAGCTGCAAACCTACGATGACGCAGCAGCAGCAGAACTGGAAGAAGAAGAGGATAGCCAGTTCCACTGCGGGCCTGATAGAAGCCCTCCGGGGGCCTCATCTGGCCCCTGGGCCGCATGTTTGACACCCCTGCTCTAAAGTGCTACTGGACTCTAATCTAGCTGTACTTTATTGAATTAGTAATTTAAGCGTACAGTTCATTTCCCAAGGATATAATGATTGCCATGAGCACATATAACTTTAATATATTGATTGATTGATAGACTTTCTTGCCAAGACTGAAGGTGGATCACAAGATATAAAACAATGTGATTAGACAACACAAAGACACCCAATAAACAATGCAATGGGTCTAGGATTGCAAGCTAGAAAAAAATAAAAAAATAAAAAAGTATCAGACATGACATATTATAAACAATGCAGAAAATGGAATTATGAAAGCAGAAGACAATGCAGTTAAGAGCAGTTAAAACATACAACAAATCTTGGAATTCTATTCCTTTTATAAAGAAGTGTCCTTCTGAACCATTCCATTATACTACAGCCCAATTCCCTTAATAAAAATTCGCTCCTTTACAATTCTGTTTTACACAGCCTGGAGAAAGATAGAATTATGGGAGCCTTACTGGCCTCCTCAGGCATGCCATTTGGCAAGGTGGAAATCTCAACAGAAATGACACATACAGGCAGCTCTTGACCTTACCCATTTGCAAGGTGGTACCTTCAGGAGGCTTTGCTCTAAGTGAAGCTGTCACAGTGGAACATATCAGGAGAGGCAGTCATTCAGATAAAAGAGGACTAGACAGATTCATGGAGGATAGCTTCATCACTAGCTACTACCCCATGGTGACTAGCAGTAGAAACTCCACACTGAGTTAATCTCTGAATACCAGTGCTGGGAGGCAACATCAGGCCTTGGCCTCTAATGCCTTGGTTTTTAGTCCTCGAGGGAAACTAGTCAATCACTGTGTAAAGCAGGATGCTGGTGGACTACTGGTCTGATTCAGCTGGGCTCTTTTGTGTTCTTAATTGTACCTTTAGAATTTGTCCATTGACAGATTCCATAAACATGATTGGTTCTGGCTTGCAAAACCTAAAACTGAAGAAGCATTAATTTAAGAATATTATTTATATTGCCACAACCTATCATTAGTTGAACTTAATATCTTCTGGGTGTCAATATTTAGGCCATTAAAGCTTCTTTTATGTTTGTTAGATATAACCTGTAGACCCAATTAATTAAATGAACACAGGAGGGATAACTGTACATGTGCAAAGGAGCTTTCTTTGACATTTTACCAGCAACAATGCCTACTGCCAAAGAGGCTTTGTTCACTATCAAAAGCAGCTTGCCTCTTTTTGAAAATGAAAGCTGAAGGTGCTAAAATGTCGATGGATGCTGTTGGCTGCCATCATGGTTCTCTCACCTCCCAGTCATCCATGCATCTTGTTTAAAAATCGGAGCCGTAGATAAAATCTCTCTCACATAACTGAGTTAGGAAACATATATTTTAACACTGATCATTTTACGGAGCTCTCCAAAACAACCAAAATTGTGATTTTACCCTTAGTGCTGGTAGAAAGTGCTGTCCAGTCACAGCTGATTTATGGTGACCCTGTAGGGTTTTCAAGCCAACAGATGTTCAGAGGTGGTTTGCCATTGCCTGCCTCTGTGTTGCAAAAAGCAATCCTGGACTGCCTTGGGGGGGTCTCCCATCCAAGTACTAAGCAGAGCCAACACTCCTTAGCTTCCAAGATCTGACAAGATTGGCGTAGCCTGGGCTATCCAGGTCAGGGTTTTAGCCTTAAGAGGGCCCCGTTCACACGAGGGAATTTGGCCCAGAAGCAGGACGGTTTGGGGGCGGTTCAAACTGCCGCGATCACACCACAACATCTGGGAAGCGTGGTGCTTCCATCCCCAAACCGGCCCATCCATGGGATAAGGCGCATCAAGTTGGAACCACCTACCGAGGTGGTTCATCGCCTTGGTGCGCCTCAACCCGGGAGTCTGATCGCCGGCGCGTCCTTGCGCCGGCGCTTCCTGGGCTCCTAGCCAAACTGCGCATGCTCTGACATGCGCAGTTCGGCTGGCCGGCCGTCAGCTCTGTGTTTTCTCCCCGGCGTCTGATCGTGCCGGGGAGAAAACGCGGCGCGGCCAGGGGATCCGTGGGATCCCGCCGCGCCGTGTCAACTTTGACGCGGCTTTGAACAGCCACGGTTTGTGCCGCTTTTTCCCCTGCGTGTGGCAGGGGCCGAGGATAATCAAATGTATGAAGTTTTTCTTCATGGAGTATGGGGACATCATTAGGGCCTCTAGTATAGTGTTCAAGGTATCTGTTTTAATTCTCAGGGTATCATTGATCAATGAAACAGAAGTAAGCTAGTAGTGAATGGGCAGAACTGGAACATTCTCTTAACCACTCTGTCTAGCTACTGTTTGAACAGATATGGTAGAGCTGTTCTTTTGTATGCAAGTGTGACCTGTTTTTGTTAATCTACTTTTTTATATATAAGACACCTAATTTATTGCACTTTTTCTTTTTCTTTTAGGTATTGAACCTTTTTCTAGCCTTGCTGCTGAGCTCCTTTAGTTCAGATAATCTTGCGGCTACAGACGATGATAATGAAATGAACAATCTTCAGGTTGCTGTAGCAAGGATTCAGAAGGGAATAGATTATGTTAAGAAAAAATTACGGGAAATTGTCCAAAAAGGCTTTGTTAGAGAACAGAAAGCTATAGAAGATATCAAAGCACTCGAAGAACTGAACAACAGGAAGGACAGCTGCATTTTCAACCACACTGTGATTGAAATAAACCGAGATGTTAATTGTCTAAGAGATGGGAATGGAACTACAAGTGGTGTAGGCACAGGCAGCAGTGTGGAAAAATATATTATTGATGAAAATGAGTATATGTCGTTTATAAATAACCCGGGCCTTACTGTGACTGTACCAATTGCTGTTGGCGAATCAGATTTTGAAAATATTAACACAGAAGAATTAAGCAGTGAATCCGATCTTGAAGAAAGCAAACAGGTAGGACGTTATGTGTATATATACATGTATATAAGCTGAAATATTTCCTTGTGAAACATATAGTATGGAATATAATATGCTGAAGTTGTTTATGGTTCTTCGCATATAATAGTACTGGGAGATTCCATGGCTTTTATACATAGCAAACTTTTTAATGTCAGCTAGTTTCTGATCGCCAAAATGTTTGATTTATACTTGTGAGCTGTCTTTTGAAAAGATGAATGATGAATGCCTACAATCTGTAAGAATTATTAATCCATTTCACATGGACATGGAATCGTGTAAATGGCATTATATTTCATATCTAGTGTGCTACAGTGGCAGCAGCATTATAGATTAAGGCTATTTGGGCTCCTACCCCTTGCAGAAGGGCACACCATGTTTTAGTGCTGGAAGCTGAGGGCCAAAGGAGACAGATCTCCATCAGTCCTTAGAAGGTAAATTGTATGTGCAGGTATGGGGCCACATAGGAAGTGAGAATTTAACCTTCACCCCCCTGCTTGGTTTTATTAATTGAAACCACTCTCCCTGTGCTGTAAAAAGATTTTGAGGAGGGGGAGTTTTTAAAGGACATGGTAGTAATGACACATAGAACTTGGTTTTGATTAGAAAAACCAAGTGGAGGTTGGAGGGATAACTCTATTCTTCCCTTTCCATGCGACCCTGATCAAAATTCTGTCTGTATATACAAATTTTCTTTTTACAGACTGCCTCCCTCTTCTGCTGAATAGCAGCAATCAGCCCAAATCTAGGGATAAAATCTCTGCCATGGTGGGGAGCAGCAGAAACCAGTAATAGAACCTTCCCACAGGAGCTTTCTACAGCCCTTAAACAAAACAGTGGTGAGGGTTGGGGAACCCTTGGGTAACACTAGACTGTGCATTTGCATAGTTATGAGAAACAAGAAAGGGCTGATTTCCGTATCTGTTTACAACCTGCTGTACGCTGTATGATGTGTTGTTCTGGACTAGGGGCCATCCAGTCTTAGCAATGGTGGGGGTGGTAAAAATCACTCCAGCAAACTAGCTCTGTAAGCAGAAGCTTGAAGATTTGTAGTCCTAAAATGTTTTGCCTTTTGGAGTTTAGGTAGAAATTTTGTTACTCTTAATCACTTTGTTAGATTTTATTATCTGTATTTATATCTTTTATTACAAATAACATGATTTCATACTTGGTTATTTAACTACATGCACTATTTTTTAGCAGCTGTTTATTTGAAATTTCTATAAGGATGATTATATCTAGCATGGGTCATCGTGATCTTTCTTGCGTGTGATCTTTAAGACTCTTCTATGATTCAGACAGGGTGAAGAAATTACCAGTTAAAATTATCATAAACTCAGTGGCTGGCATTACTGAGTAAATTCCCACATGAAGATTAGGCATCTTGAGCATTCTTGATAGAGAGTTGGAAACACTTTATATTTTTAAAGGATTCTTTTCAAAAGAATCAGAATGTTTTCTAGTATTTGTGTGCTATATAATGTAGGCTCTTAGTGTTCTCTCTTTTTTGACTCTAGGAAAGGTGTAGTTGCTTAATTTTGTAAGAATAACATCTCTGTGGTTCATTCATTGGAATCTCCTATATTACCTCCTGTTACGACCTGTGAAATATTTGAGGTTGAGGCTTTAGAGTCATGAGTTTGGTAGAGACAGATCCAAATAGTGGTAGAGATAGATCCAAATAACTCCTGGTGTTTTTTATTTTCAGAGGGAGAGAGGCCATCCTTGTTTTTTGGTACAACCGGAAGTCTTTTTGCATAATGTCTGATCTGTTCTATCTTACCAAAGGCAGGCTGAGGGTATTTTACAATGTTCAACTGCATCTTGTTCTAGAAGAGCTCTAGTGAACTTGAAATTTCATTCACTGCCCTGTAATTAATATCTTAGGTGAGCCCTAAATGCTTAGTTGTTGCTTGTGGATTTTTTTCCCCTAAAGGGCCAACATTTTAAATATATTTTTGTTTGGGAGTTTGTGATAAGTTCATTCTTGGGTTGAGTATGTGTTTCACTCACTTACCCAGCAATACATCCTTCCCTTGGTATCATCCATTTCAGTGAAGCTTTTTAAAGGTATTGGTTTCCTGAGATAACATATTCTGTACAATTTATCGTAGTTAGCTTTGTCTGGCTTTTGCTTTCATAGAAGCAATTGTTGCGTTATTTTGCTTGTGTGTCAGACATCAGATTTTCTTCTCTGAATCACAGCTATGATATTTATGTTTTAAAGAGTTTTAACCTACAGTGATTAATCGCTTTAGTGAATATGTTTAATTTAGAATGCTATTTGGAAACTAAAAACAGCACCAGTATGCCAGTCATAGCAAAATTGTTTATGGGCAAATAACCATATTGCCTCTGTCCAAGGATGGGCTGGTGCTCTTAACAAATACTTAAAGTTGTAACAGTGTAGGCACTCCTCTCCCAGGCTTTCTGTTTGTATGTGTGTGGTTGTTCACAATGAAAAGAAAGTAACTAAGGTACAGTTAACTTCTTTCTAGTAATTTCTCTCTCTGTGCAGTCAGTCTCTGCTGTTACATCTACTTGATGCTGAGGTGGAAAATGTAGATTGTTGAGGCTTCTGACAGTTTGCTGTTATGTACTAGAGTTACCTCAATCTAAACCCATTGATATGGGTTTAGAATTGAGTAACTTTGTTTAGGATTGTGCTGGTAATCAAAGCTAGAATGGGGTCGGGGGAGTGCGTTCTCTGTGCTGATACTGAGTATTGCTGGCATTAGTAATTAAGCCAGAACCAGCTATATGTCACTCCAATTTTGGGGACTTGTTTATTTTGAATAATAAATTAATTGGATTTAGATTTTTTAAATGTATTAAATTAGATTTACTAGGCCGCCCTTCCCTTCAAGTAGGGCTCAGGGTGGCTTACAACAAAATAACATAAATAAGTAATTTAAATTAAAACCAACACAAAAACTACCTAAAAACAAATCAGTAAATAAGACAATATACATTCTGGATGGCGGAAAAAGATTCAGCTCCCCAGCCTTGGGGGGGGGGGGGGTTATGAGGGATGAGGAGAGGATATGAGGGTGCCAGGTTTTGTAGGCATTCTGAAGGCATTTCAGAATTCAGAATGAAAATTGAGAAATGGGAAATGCTGATAGTAGAATCCTACTAAGATTTGTCTTCCATGTTCTAGAATGAAATTTTCAACTTAACAGGTGCAATCCTGTGTACACTCATTAGAGAATAAATCCATTTAATCCACTTTCAGAGGGCTTGAATGTTTCAGAAAGAAGAGGTGGGGGAAGGAGTACTCTGTCTTACTCTGTCTCAGGAGTACACCCTCTAGACTTGACAGCAGAAAGTAGATGAGTGACAGCCCAAATAATTGTTACTTCTGGTTTATGGTGGACCTTGCAAAAGATGGCTAGGAATGTGTGTCCTATTCCAAAATCAACCAATATGTATCTTCCTTTTTTGCAGTTAGGTAATTGTGTCTAACTCTTTTTGTTTCTGAAAATGTTTTGAAATCATGTGTGAATGCTAGTCTCCAGAGCACAAAAGACTGGAGATAATGTGTCATGAACTTCATTGCCTACCATTCTTACTTCTCACAGGGGTAAAATCAAGCTGGAGCAATCAAGAAATGCAGCTCTGGTGCTTTTTAACCAGGTAGATTCAACGTACCACCACTATTACACAGGTTACCTAAGCAAATTATACATATATAATCACTTTCCAGTGGATATTGACTGGCCTGCATGCTACTGAGCTATGTTGCCTTCCCTGTCCATTGCAAGACAGTCCAAACATGCACAGCTGCTCTCTGCCGAGTCCTGTGACTCACTTCACAGCATGGTCAGGCAAGATTGGCAACCCCAACATACATTTTGATTCTGCTAGTGAATTTTCTAGATATATATTTTATTATCAAATCCCTTAACAGCTACTGCATGACCTATAGGTTTTATAAGATGGATCATAAAATTGTGAGAATGTTGAACACTCAAAAGGCCAAGGGGGGAAAAGGGAGCATGCATAGTTTTTAGAAGTAATAAAAACAACCCTTTTTGATTCAGCCCTTATAAATGTGGTATACAATATTTAATATAATGAATGTTGTCTTTCCAGGAACTTTAGGTAACATGAAAATTTAGTTACTTTCTGTGTTTCTGTGTTTGCTTAAGTTTTAAATTGCCAAATGTTTTGGAGGTGGTGTTGCCATGAAAATTCTCCCATGCTGGACCATTCTTCTAATGTTCATTTGAACACTAGGTAGTTTTGAATTTTCATATATTATTAATTTGGTGGGGGTATCCTTCTTTTTAAAGTATGTTTGACTAGTGTGCATAATCATATTCCCAAAACAAACAAGCATACTATAGAGAAGATAATTTCTGATCTCTGATATGGTTCTGGTAATGTACCAAAAAATCATACGTGTATTACTGGTGGTCACCCAGGATGAATGCCAAAATGAATTATCAACAACTGACAAGTATAAACATGTACTTTAGTTGATGTTATACTTTTAGAAGTTCCAGTACTTTTACCTTCGTTTTTAAAACTAACCACTTGGGGCTGCGATGGCTCAGTGGTTAAGACGCTGAACTGCAGACTGGAAGGTCGGTAGTTCAGCAGTTCGAGGCGTGAGTGCCGCATGGCAGAGTGAGCTCCCGTCTCTGATCCCAGGTCCTGCCATCCTAGCAGTTCAAAAACAAGAAATTGCAAGTAGATAAATAGGTACCGCTTCAGTGGGAAGGTAACAGCGTTCTGTGCGCCTCGGCGTCTAGTCATGCCAGCCACATGACCATGGAAACATCTTCGAACAGCAGTGGCTCTTCAGCTTGGAAACAGAGATAAGCACCGCACCCTAGGGCAAGGGAAACCTTTACCTTTACCTTTACTTGTTTACAGCCTAGCCAAAGAGATCATATGTTGCAGAATTTTTCACAGCTGAAGAGTTTCAAAAGGAGCTCTTTTGTTGGCGGGACTTGCTGTGCAAGAACAGCAAGTGAAGATAGGGTTTGTGC